CTTGCCCCAGGGCACGCAACACATCAGGGGCAGGTTTGGGACTTAGACCCCTGCATCACCAGAGTTCGGAGTCCAGAGTTCTTTTACATTAATAGGATTCCTTCAGGAATGTAAGGAGTGCTGAAAAATGTTCAGTTCCCTAAGCTCAGATAACAGTCATTCAGTGCTTATAAATATAATTTCTTCCAAATGAAATGTGGGCAAATAATTATTTCCTGTGACAAGGGAACATGTGAATTGAGGTAAATGAATTATGTTATATATCCTAACAGTAACCTCTCCCACCCCTGATTTATCTCTTTTTCCCTCTCACCATGTATTGTTGGCTATTATTGCCATGTGGTCATAGAGTAGTTATTATAGACAGTAATATCTAGGAAAGAAGTTTTCAGAAGCATGAATTATATCTAAGCCCCTGTTTCCATTGTACTGATCAGATGACTTGATTGGAATACTTTTCTGATGTTAAGTCCCTTTAGAGGAAGGTAAGTGTATTAACTAATTATAAATCCAGATATTCAATAATGAGTTTTATTTATAGCAATATCTACTGATACATTATTTCTGAATTGATGAGAAGAAAATTCAGACCTTTGCTACATTCAGAATTTAAGATCATTAAACAGTGTAATCCAGGAAAGAAAAATACAATGAAACAAGCAATTGCATTTATAGGACACTTTTAAAGCATTGACCAGTCAGAAAAATATTTTGATCTTTTATATTGTTACTTTAATTCTAAGCATCCAAATTGAATTTTAGTGAAGAAATAAATTAGAGTCTGTGGAGGCTATGAGAATGCAAAATGGCTTATGGGAGGGGGGATAAAAACAGAAAAAGAAAACACTCTTCCTATATGTGGCAATGGTAGTTGTACTGGTTTTTTTCTTAATGACGAAAGCAAGCAATTTAAGACTCAGCCCCGGGGTCTCCCTACACTTATCACAACAGCTTCATGTTTCAGAGCACCCCAGGCTCGTCTGTAATTATCTAGAATATGCTAAGTCTCTGTGACCAAAGCTGTTTCATCCTTTCTGTGGTCAGATCAGCTAGTCTATAATGAACCTGAATATAATTCCAGCTCCAAATGTTGGGAATTTTCCTGGGCCAAGGCAGTGAGTCTTCTATTTGAAAGTTGTTTTATAAGAAATGAGGCATCTGTTAGAATTCAGAGGAAGTTGATTATTTTACTTTATCAATCTTACAGTAGCTATCAGACAAATTGTGGTCATTTCCATCTTTTCTATTTTGTGGAAAGAAGACTTACCTTTTATAGATGTGATAGGAGAAATAGAAAACATTTTTATTCATTCATTCATTTATTCATGGTCTACAGTGTATGTTAAGGTTATTCAGAGATTAAGATACCTGCTGGTTAGAAAGGGACAGTCTACTTCCTATTTCATTTCAAATATTCTAATAGCTTTTATTATGTGAGAAGCACATGGGACAAAGGGGACCCCCCCCCTACAGTTCTTCCAAGGCCAGTTTCTAGGACTGATATGAAAATGTCATGTTCTAACTTCTAAGGCTCTTTTGTCATTGTAAATAGACATTAAATTAGCATCCTAGCTTAATGCAAATTTCTCCCCTCTGTTTATGGAATTACTGACAGTAAAGAAGGGGCATATGTACTGTTCCCTTCACTCCACCAGCTTCACTGTGGTGGAAAATAAAGGACAAATATTATGCACATTAACTTGATACAGAACCAGTTTCACAGATGTGCAGAATGCCATCACAGGAGCCCTGTACTTGGTTTAATGCTCTGCTCTCACCATTTTGGAACTCTTAATATTTTACGAGCGAGAGGCCCTGCATTTTCATTTTACAATGAGCCCTGGACGTTATTTTGTGGGTCCTGCCTGTGTAACACTTGTTCTGCTCGGCTGTGTTGGTCTGTCGGCACCTCCAATCGTACGCTTCAACATATCCACTCTCTCTTCAAATCAAAGGATAAGCAAATAAACTTTTGTTGTTGTTAACTAAATGTGTTTTAAATGAACTTCTAAAGTACTATTTCCAAAGGCAAGTTTATGACATTGATTTTTAAGTAAGCTGTGAAAAGTACCCAAGTGAGTTTCCAATAATACAATTCTTTCATTGATGGGTTTGTTGTTTGTGTTTTCAGCTAATTAATTCAAAGTTCATAGTTTTGACTTTAATGCTTTTTAATTTATTTTTAAGTTTATTGAGCACACTACATTACTTATGTTTATTTAAAGTAAAATTTGAGAAAAAATTAAATTGGAATGTATTTTTTCATTTTTACCTTGGATAGTAAGCAGCTTTGCCCAAGCCTGAGTAATCTAGCTTTAAGTTATAAATTGAGGCATTTGCTTTGAAAGCAAATCCTGTTATGGTCAAGTAAAATATTGCACCTGGAACTGTGTGGAATTAAAAATTATGGCATCCACCCCTGGCTGGTATTGCTCAGTGGATTGAACACCGGCCTGTGAACTGGAAGGTTACAGGTTCAATTCCTGGTCAGGGCACAAGCCTGGGTTGCATGCCAGGTCCCCAGTTGGGAGTGTGTGGGAGGCAACAAATGGATATTTCCCTCCATCTCTTTCTCCCTCCCTTCCCTTCTCTTTAACAATAAATAAATAAATATTTTTAAGAAAATCATGGCACTCAAAATCATGCTTAATGACTTTTGGGATACAGTTTCTGCTGCTTTGGGACCACCCAATATGTTCAGTCCAGGGGTCTCCTTTGTGTCTCTAAGATAAATGGAGTTCCCATTTCTCTTAAGAGGAGCACTGAGTGTTTGCTTATTGGCTTTTAAAGCTGGGTTCCAAAACTTGACTCTTTACATATATTGAAAAGAAAATTCAAAGGGCCATGTTTCTTTATTCTCATCCAAGCCCACAATTAGCTTAAGTTCCATTCTGGGTGGCTAGAAGGAAGAGGAAAGGGGTGGCCCAGCAGGCATTTTACTGCCTGTGAGAAAGTGCTCCTCCAAGTTTCTTTGTTCTTTGGGTCAGGGATGGCTGCCTCCCTAATTGTACTGCTGTAGGGAAGCGCGTGCCTCCGGGAGCATTATCTGATTCCCACAGGATGTTCAGAAGTGCTTTGTATATTGACCCTTAAATTGAACACGAATATCTTTTCAATCCCCTTCTTAGGTTCTCGCCACATGCTTGGAAACCTAACAGGTTTAATTTAGCCAGGGGTATGGATGCATTTGTATAGGCCTCAGGGTTTTTCTCCCCCCTCTAATTGTCTTACCTACATTTTTGCTGTACTTGTCAGCTGGGGAAGCTGAAGGTGGAGGAGAAGAGATGCAGAAGTCAGAGGGGAGAGAAGGCGAGATGAACAGCTGCTCTTGTCAGCATGGGGATAAGTGTAAAGAGATTAATAGTTATTTGAAGAGCAAATGGGGACGTGGCATCCAGCAGTGGAATGTGAATGTATAAATGTGATAGAACGAGCAGGCGACCGTTAACATTTAGACAGATGCTCTCTGGACTGAATGGAATGGCAGAGTTCGTTTCTTCTCCCCACATGAAGTGAAATACACAAGGTTTAGTAAAATACTTTTATTAAATGTTAAGTTTAATTCAATTTTTCAAGTGTCTATTCCTTTGTGAGCTTTTTCTTCTCCATTGTTTTACATAGTCTGAGTCTCAGAGTTACACAGGGTGGGACAAATGTAGGTTTACAATTGTGAGTATGTGATGCACAGAGTTTATTCTTGTATTATTATTTATTAATTATTAAATTTTCTAATGAATGACTGTAACCCTATTGTGTCCTACCCTCTATATCAACTGAAGAGCCAGACAACTCATTTCCTTGATAAAATAGGTACCACAGTACCCCAGAACTGTCTTCTTTTTCTTCTTGCTTTTTGTTTGGCCTCCCTTCATTAACTGGTAGGAACAATGAGATTTCCATGTGTCCGAAGGTTTCACAAAGGAAAAACTGTGCAATAGGCCGTATTCTGGAAATGTGTCCAGTTTGACTCAGGTTTAGGAATGACTTGAATGATCTGATCAGGCTGACAGTTGTGGTGGCCCAGGCAGGGCCCTGGACTCTGAACCAGAAGATTTTGTTTCAGAAGCCCCATTCTTTGCTTATTAGCCAATACTCAAGTAAATTGCTACTCTTCTCTGACAGCACTGTAGTAAAGTTGTTTTGTAGATTAAATAAGAAGAAACTAATTCATTCTTTGCATAAACATCTCACTGAGTACCTCCTCTGTACTCAGTTCTGTTCACATACCGGCATTTGGCAGAAGAGCTGCATGAGCTACTGTACTTCTGAATTATATTGAATATAGAATATTAATCATAGCTACAAGGTGTTACTTACATATATTGTACTCTAGGAAAGAATAAGCTGCTAGAAAATTAAAGAACAGATTAAAAATTAGGTTGTGTTTGTACTGGCATGTTGTTACCTTTCAAAATATACAGCTGGCTCTTACCCTGCTACCCATGTCCCTCCAGCCTTTAAGAAACTAGCCCTTGGGGGCAATTCTGGATACCCTGGGACAGAATTTAGAGTTATAAAACTATATAATGTATATGTTTCATATACAATAATCTGATGATTAAATCCCCTCAAGAATACATCTACTCTGTGGTCTCTTTCTGAACAGCGTGGCAGAAGAAAAAGACAAAGAAAAAAAAAAAACACTGGAAAAGCAGGAGGTATTCATTAATTTTAAAGAATTACTGAGCAACTACTTAGGATTGGGCACTTCTTGCCCCATTTGTGAATAAAAACATAGCCTACTTGCAAATGCTCTTGAGAAGCCACAGTCTCCAAGGTTGCATCCAGGGGCTGTGTGATCCGTGCAGGCCATACAACATACACAGGCATGCCTGAGGCTTCTCTTGTCTCTGTGTAACACCAGTTGGTCATTTTACCTCAATTGTTAGGGACCAGAGGTCAAATTCTGTGGAATGCGTGCACCAAATGATGCTTTTTTTTTTAGGAGCATTGATCTGCAGCTTAAATGGCTAACATTGGGGTTTCTGGGTGTCCTACAGCCACAGTACACAAACCTGGGGCTCCTGAACAGTATGGACCAGCAAATTCAGAACGGCTCCTCGTCCACCAGCCCCTACAACACAGACCACGCGCAGAACAGCGTCACGGCGCCCTCGCCCTATGCGCAGCCCAGCTCCACCTTTGATGCCCTCTCACCATCGCCTGCCATCCCCTCCAACACCGACTACCCGGGTCCGCACAGCTTCGACGTGTCCTTCCAACAGTCCAGCACCGCCAAGTCAGCCACCTGGACGGTAAGAGCACTGAGAACCAATAGGCCATTAAACCTGACCTCAAGTACAAGGGCCATCTTAACACCCCCACAAAGACTTCTCTCCCTTCAAACCTGAGAGATCCATATTGAAAGGTGGAAAAATTTTCCTGTCCTCTGAGGGCATTTTGTGTCTGAATATTTAACACTGAAAGAGAGAGTGAGAAGAAGTGCCATTTAGTGGGGAAAGCCTGGATCTGGGAACCAAAGCCTTGCGTTCTGGCGGGCTCCTAGCAGTTTCAGTGGAGGTGTTTGTTCTTGCCTGATTCACGCTGCTGGGAAGCTCTTTATGTGTTAAGTTTTTTGAAAAATGTAAAGCATTATGCCAACAAGAATTATCATAATCATAGGATGTGTTTGTAGCCCCTAGAATATAAGATGGTTACCAGTTTCATATTTTGAAAAAGTAAACACTAAGGGGTGATTTAACAAAAAAAAAAAAAAGAAGAAGAAAACCACAAATACAGCATCTGTAACAAGAAATTCAAACCTCATTATTAACGCGGGCCTAAGTTTGTTTATACATGTAGGTTCTATAACATGAATTATACTCTATTAATACATATATATTTATAACTTAGAAACATTTTTCCCCAAAAAGAAGCCTCTAGAACTATGTATTAGAGCCCTGAATTAATCCAAAAATATTCTTTTTCAAAACACTGAAAAAAAGTTTCCATATATAACTTTTCTAAGAAAACATGGAAATATTTTCAAAAATTCAAAAGGTACATAAATGTTCAAAGTTTATTTTGTAATGGATTATAATATGAGTAAGTCCAAACATAAGGGAGACTTATAAGACTGGTTTTAACTGGTTGATCAAAGAATGCCCAAGACCAAAGTGGCATGCATGTTTGTCAAACAATTTAATGTTTTCATGAATTATAGAAATGCTTCCAAATATCATCTTCTTGTTGAGAAGTGCCTTTAAAAGTGCCTGTTAATAGTTTTAACAGGTTTTCCCCCTCGCTGGCAAATAGGCCTCTTTGGAAAGCATTCCCCTTTTGTGTTATAGTATCCACTCACTACAGGCTTTAATCCAATTGAAAAGAGTTCATGAAATAATCTGCATTCGTAACACTACATTCCAACATAATTTCACACGTGCTCTTGTTTTGACCTCACTTCTTTGCGGACTAGGTAGAACACGTTTTGTAACTCCCACTTTACTAGCGGGGAAAGCTGAACAATGAGGAGGTCAGGTGAGTTCCCTAAAGTTACAGAGGCTTTTGTGTAACTGGACCTGTTTCTGACCCTGCTCTCCCCCACAGAATTGTGCCCTTCCTTTTTTCACCATTTCACATCAGGATGTCCCACATATCTAAAAATTTATTTTAGTGCTTTTTTTATGATTTGAGAAGCAGTTTTGTCATGCTTCACATTTCAACCATGATGTCTAAGTAGTAGCTTAAAACTTGATCTCTCGTTCATGTGTTATTTATCAATTGTGTCATAATCTTTAGTCTTTTTTATAGTAATAATCCTGGAGATGGACACTAAAGGTGAGTCAATTTAGAGTCCATAGGCCTTAAATAAATATTGGTTGATCAAGCTAAGTGATCTTTTGCTGAAGAAACAATCAAATGAGCATGTCATAAATAGAGCATTGATGTGTTTTAGAATAAGTATCACCAGTTGGACATTTGTAATCACAGTTCTTCAAGGCTGTTTCTTGTTTGGCACACTCAGGCAGAGTCCCACTCTGTTAGAAGTGAACACATCTGAACGGATGATGGCAGATTGGGGCCACTAAATGTTAATCACTTCTCTTCTAAAATGGTTTAAGAACTATGGGGATGGGGGTTGATACAAGTACAACATCCTATCAGTCTTTCTCTTTCTTTCCTCCCTGCCTCCTCATTCAGACATTTGAAGACTTTTGTTTTTTCAGATTTAGCACAATTCTCAACCATCTTTAACCACAGCCCCTCTCTTACAGAAGTAAATTGTCTCACAGGAAAAGTTTGGAGATTTCTACACCATATTTCGTAATACCTATTTCTTAGGCATTTGTGTACTTTAAAACAATTTTTCAGAATAAAATACTGTATTTTAAAACTGCCCATAAACTGGAAGCAGCTGAAGCAGCTGTCTTTAGAAAGAGGCCACACTTATTGCATACTATTCTGCTGATTCTTTAACAAAATCGTTTTAGTACCATTTTATCACTTGTCATCCTTTCATGTTGAGTTTTTTCTTTAATTTCTGGTTTACTTAGAGTTACTGCCAAAATGTAATTAATATATTTAAAGTATATATGCATATTTTTCTTTGCTTTCTCTATATTTTAAATAACAAATGTGATTGTGTTTCTAGTTTCATAAAAATATGGTATTTATTTTAAACTTCTTCCAGTGAAATGAAGTGTGATAATGTTGTTCCATATTCTCTATTTCACACACACACACGCACATCAACACTGAATTCGGGATTTAGTTTCAGACTTCTTATGTCTACAGTGTAATTGCCACTAGTTATCAAGGCCTACCATTTAATTTAACAGAGTGCTGGTCTAGTATTGTAGCCAGGAATCATCAGTCATAGGATAGTTGACAGAATGATAATTTGAAAATGGCAAGAAACTTCGGTGCAGATTTCAACCCTGAAATTTACCAGCAGCATATGGAACCTGCCCAAAGAATTCAATCTATTTAAACCTCACTTTCCTCACCTACAAATGGAGATGTTAATAGTTTTCTTATCACTAGGATTACATGACACGTGTAGGGACACCTACCAGCACCTGGCTAGTCATAGGCACATGTAAGTGTTAAATGAGTATGAGTTTGAATTCCTTTGTTTTATGAGTTTGTTGTAGTTTTCTTGAGGGTTCGTTTGTACAAGTAATAATTTGAAAAAATGCAAAGCAAAATATCTTCTACTTCTTTTCCTAGTGCTTTTGGGACTGTGATAATAATCCACTATCCAAATATATGAATAGATGACATAGGATGATAACGGACTCTCCCATAGATGGACTTCAGGCTGGCTGTGCTCCTTTCCTAGGCCTGCTCAGGCAGATACCAGCTCAAGGATGGGCCCTTTCCAGATTTAAGGACCTGTAGACTCCTGGCATTTATTTCTCATTTTTATTTTTGTTTTTATCTTTCCCAGAGGATATTTTTTCATTGCTTTTAGAAAGATAGGAAGGGAGAGCGAGAGAGAGAACCATTAATGTGAGAGAAAAACACTGATTGATTGCCTTCTCGTAAGTGTCCTGACCTGGGAGCGAACCCACCACATGTGTATGTGCCCCGACCAGGAATTGAACTTGCAACCTTTTGGTCTAGAGAATGATGCTCCAACTGACTGAACCACACTGCCCAGGGCTATTTCTCATTTTTAATCTGCCACTTAATTCATAGGGATATCTTCTTTTATTCCCCATGTTAAATAACAGATAACAGTGAACCACACTTGTTGAAGAGTCAGCATATTAATTTGTGGTAGCAAAGTACTGTAGGTCGCCAAAACACTCACCAGTGTGGAACTGGCCCAGGATATTGTGGCTTATCCATATAGAGAAATACTCTATGTACATTTAAAAAAATCCCAAGTACTGATCTGCAATGCTTTATGGCAGTGCTAGTGGGGAAAAGATAAGCTTTCTATGGCACCTACTTAAGAATTGAGAGTATTGGTAAGGACACCACTTCTGGGGCCAGAGTGTTTTCTTTTGCTCCAGTGAAGAGGCCTGTTTGTGAATATAGGTCAATGTCTTGATTATTAGACTCATGTACCTCTGTCAGTTTGAGAGCTAGTTTTTTTTTCCTCTCACAACAAATGGCTGACTATATTTTGTGTGCAAACACTGTGAAAATCCTCAGATTAGTGTTTTTCTGTTGCGCTCACTTTGAGATAGTAATCCAGCCTTATGATGTATGACCACTTTTTGCTATGGACTATTTCTTCCTTCATAGACTTCAAGATCTTGGACAGCGGACACTCCGACCAGCACAATTTCCAGTATATGATAGGCCCTTAATAAATATTAAGAAACTTTATTTTTCCCTCATCATTAAAGGAAACAATTATAGTTCCAAGGAGTGTTCCACAATTCTTTCTTATCTGGATTATTAACTGTCCATGAATTTGGTCCCTTTTACCTCCACCCATGATTAATAGAGAGCATTCTTCCTTTGCCTTTCCTAATCATGCCAGCCTCATGTTGTGCTCAGAACTTTGAAGAATCTGACTTGAGTAAGTGGAGAGTTTAAGGAGGTGGTGTTTGAAAGGGAACAGCCAGTTCCCCGGAGAGTTTCATTGATCCCAGCACATTGGCCTTGCAAGTTGCTCCTCTTGGCTCCAGAGGAGGGGTGAGATGCATGTCTGTGGCCCACCCTCCCTGTCATCAGGTTACCTGTAATGTAAGACTTCCAGAATGAGGCTGCCAGCTCTGCAGAAACCTAATGCAAGCCAGCCCATTACGTGGCTTTCTGGAATCTTGGGACTCTCAAGGATAGCTCATCAAAGGACATGATGTACAGACAGACTTTTCAATGGTGAATATGATTTATCAGCTTCCTTTCACAAAGGGAACACTTCTCCCTTAAGAACTGGAGTCTTTAATTGGAGCTTGAGCTGGTCTTACATTTGAGTGGCTGCTAGATTTCAATGGTGAAGGACGGGAGAGAAATGAGTTGAGAGTTGGCTCCTGCCAGTGATACATTTGTTAATCATAACAAGGTTATTTTCACTTCTTGCTGTAGCTGTCCTGTAAGTCTCTTAACATACATTTAGAAGTGCCTTTTATACCTTTTCCATGATTGATAAAAATAATAAGTTTGAGCACATTCACCTGTTACCTAAACTGTTTCTTAGTTCAGAGTATTAAGTAAGACTATTGTAAATAAAGTACTTGGAGACTCTTAGTAATGGTTCATGTTACTTATTTAACTCTTGATTTTGGACTTACAAATGAATTTCCATTGTAAGACGTGTTGCAGAGGTGTTGTCGCAAGTCCAGAGAAGAATAACTTA